GGACAGATCTTCACACTCCTGAAATGAATCTAACGACCAAACGAACAAATTGTTTCCTGCAAAATCCCCCTCCCCTTTCGCTCCCCTTTTATGTCCTATGGGAGGGGCCATTCACCGTCCACCTGTGACTTTACTCCCCTGATTTCTGAGCTGTTCTTTTCTCCTGGCAGCTCTGCGCATGCGCACACTGGGAACAGGCTCCAGCTGTTCCTCTGCCTCACTGCCATCTAGCTCTGAAGGCAGCTGAGAACTGGCAGACAGCCTCGACCCCATCTCTGCCTCCAACACAGAGCCCTCGTCCAAGACTTCCCCAGCCTCCAGGACTGGCCCATGTTCCCCCACAACCTCCTCACTCTCCGACTCTGCTGCCACTCCGCTGGTGGCCCACAACAGTGATACTGAGAGCACAGATAAACCGCCAAGAGGCCTTCAATAACTCTTAGAGAGAGTACTAATAACCAGATGACTGCAAGGAATATAAATCCTTCCATCTTTCACCATATTCAATCGGAACCGAAGAAGTTCGTTGGATGAAAAGCGAAACAAGAAAGAACAAAGTCTAGTTGTCTTTGGGACAACTTTAAGCACTGCACCAGGCATCAGAATATGGAAGAGAATTAGAAAATGGCGGCTTGGCACCCTGGTTCCATGTTCAGCACCCAACACCTCCAGTTCAACAGACAACCTGGTTGCCTATTATTCACATCCAATTCAAGTGTGGTTGTCCTTTATTCAAAGTTTTTGGGGTCAAGGGCCACCCTTAAATCTTTGAGGGACATGTCGACCCTGCTCTAAAAGACAGGCCAGTCCAGACCGAGAATTAAACTGACACCATTAAAATTACATTAATATCCAGTGGATTCAGTGCAATTATTCTGATTATTTCCCATGTGTTTTAAAAAAAACTTTTCTAGTCTGCCACATTAAAAGTAAAAGTTGTGTGTGTGTGTGTTTGTGTGTGTGTCTGAGGAAAAGGACCATAGAAGAGGTATCCCTGAATCTGAAGGATCAGGATGCAAATTATGGGGAAAGGCCTGCAAATCCTGTAACCAGGATCTTTATTAATATAATATTATATTACTGGTAATATCCGAATCAGCCTTTGTCATATCCAGGAAAAATAACAGGAACGTACAACATTCCTCCTCTTAAATCAGACCAAAGGATAGCAGTGTTCCAATATTGGAGGGGCTGCCACAAAGAAGACCGGGTCAAACTATTCTCCAAAGGATCTGACGGCAGAATAAGAAGTCTTGGATGGAAATTAATCACTCATGCCCTTGTCACCTCAAGACTGGATTACTGTAACACGCTCTACATGGGGCTGCCCCTGAAGAGTGTTCGAAGTTGGTCCAGAATGCAGCCGCGTGAGCGATATTGGGTGTACCTAGATACACTCATGTTACACCCATCCTCCGCGAGCTGCACTG